TTTGGGATTATTTCCAACTCTTATTTATCGTTAAAGATTTTGAAGGATTGTTAGTTATTATTAAGTTGCAGGTTAAAAGTGATAAACAATGAATAATAATCGTTTTGCGAGACTTTTTACGTTTGTTAGATGGCCCAAAATATTTTCTAAAATAAGATTTCTCTTAGATCACTTTAATGAAATTATTTTATGTTCCCAGTGCTTTAAAGGCTGACTTTAGCCTTAATCTGCTACAGTTTATTGGTTTGCACTTAACTGATGAGAATTATGAGAGGACAAATAGACAATATGACTTTCTTCTCTAAATCAGCGGGTTTGTAATAAATTTCTATCGTATCTCGAATATCAATTATCATTATTATCGCAAAATTCATGCATACCTATAGATAGAACCTGCAATATGCTTTTTTAGACGACGGAGGAAAACGTTTTCTTCTCTTTTTGATCAAATTCTTATGATCTTTTTTCGAGCGAAAAAATTTTGGTATTCTTTTTTTGAGTTCAACTAATTTTTTTTTTTTTTTGCTTTGTTAAATCAGTAGATGTTGAAATACAAACATTCTTCACCTATGAATTACTCAGTCAATTTGCCACTAACTTTTTAAAAAGAAAAATAAAAAAATGGAAAATTTTTTTTTAATGCTTGATAGCTTTACTCTTACAACAATGCATTATTTCTATATCACGACTTTCAGTTTATGTAATCAGTCCTGCTTTTCTTTTGAATTTGCTTGAACTATGAGGAAAAACTGTCTTACAAGTTACAAAAAGGAATGAAATCTTGAAATATTTTCAAGCTTCTTGAAAATGTTTCAAGAAGGCATGAAATTTTAATTTAGTTCCAGAATTTTGTTTTTAGTAGCTTACCGATACCAGTGCTGGCTACATCAAATAAATTCTATACTAAGCATTAAAATTAATTGGAGGGAATCCCCAGTAACACTCAAATGCGCTCAAATAAAGGAAAGTAAAAAATGATAACAATTGAATTTCCAATAATTTTTAAGAAGAAATAAAATGTCAATATTTCTTTAGATTAAATGGGATGGTTGTATATTAGACATATTTTCAAAAAATCAGCTGAAAATTGATAATTTAACAGCTGAGAATAATTCAATAGCAGCTTTTAGCACAACTGAGAAAATTTTTTTGAAGAATTCGGTAATAAATTTACTTCACATATCGAACTTATATTAGATTTACTTTCACACAAACTAAATTTTTTTGTAGATTATGCAGTTGAAAATTTTATTAATAGTCCATTTCTTCCTTTTTGCAAAATAATTTAAAAAAAAAATCTGCCATTTTTTAAGTTTGCGTTCAAAAATATTTAATGTAATTATGATAAAACAAAATGCGCGAATAACTTGCTCAGTTTCCCTCATCCCCAAAAAATATGTCAAGAACAACCGGTGTTTTGTATAGGATACGGATTCTAATATTTGAAGATTCTGAACAGTGGGCTGGAATATCAACGTTGTTGTTGAATATCAATCTATGAAAATACATTGCTTTCAATATACATCTCTTTTGTACTATTCTCCTTATCAGTCAAAGTTATTTTCTAGTTTTAATCTTATACCTGTCGTCACCTATTTCACATCTACCTGACATCAATTTTCGTTTCACTTAAATGAAGGGGAAACGAAGCATTTTATCGTGAATTCAATTATCAAATCTACAGAGATATATAGATATCAATAGTTCTATGGAGAAGTACTCCTTACTTGCCTATAAATAATTATATATAAACTGCTATAAGATGAATGACTCCTTTGCTTGCTTATGAGTAAAGATTTAAAACCTTGTATAAAAGAGTGAGAATCTAAAATTCTGCACATAAGCAGTCGTGTTCCTGGAAGTAAACAAAAAATATAATAATAAGCTCCATATTTTCGCTTCTTGAGAAAAGTTATACACACTATTAGAACTATGAGAATAAATGTATAATAATTATTTAAGCCAGCGATTGATAAAATTACTAGGATTTTGGCTAGAAAAACTGGAAGAGTTGTCGAACGTAGGAAGTGCCATCTTATGGAAACTCTGAGAAATTATGAGTTCACTATTAGCGTTTTCAGGGACTGCGTAAATTTTAAGATTATTCTGTCGTCCTATTGTTGGATATGTTATTATTCAAGTCTTGCTTTGTGATTCAATAGCATTTAGCCACTTCTTTCCTTACTAAGCTGGAAAAATATCGTCAGGTTGATGGTCTGGCAGTAGTATGTTGGAGTAATCGAGACTTTATAATTCACGCATGTCCGAAAACGTCGGAGAGCCCTTTTTTCAAGCTCATTTACTTTGTACTATAGCCAGTGTGCATAATGGACATAGGTCAGGTGAGATTCTCAAAGCTAAATAGCTATGTATTGGGAATTTTACGAATGATCTATTGACTTTCTAATAGAGAGGACGATTTTTTCCATATGAGGAACGCACTTGCAGTGACTTTTCCCGCTGTTGTTTATTCCATTCGTACCTCATAGATAAGATAAAGGGAGATAGGAGGCAGGTAACAGTCTTACATTTATAGCAAGAAAACTTCATCTTAAGATACTCTTAAAAGAAGTCACGAATAATTACAGTAAATATATTGTTTCCGTGAATTCTTCCTGGTTCCAGTACTATCCAAAATGTAATTCAAAAGGTATGTGTAATGAATTTTTATCATTCAAAATATTTTAAAAATCTCGCTAGAATTTTCAGCCAGACAAGCATCTTGCAGATTTGCTTTGTGTGCAGAACGGAAATTTTTTTTACACCTATTTTCACAATATCCGGATTTGACATATCAGCTGCTTTAGTTAATAAAGCAAGTATTGATGGGAAGAATTAAAGAAAACCTGTAGAGTGCACTTGACTGGTAGGAAATCACTCTCATGCAAAGCCTTCAAAATAATCATGTAAATATGCTTTCGTTGTAACACTTTCTCTCTCAACTGCAATATTTATACGCAAGTTACAGTGCAGACATTTGAAATTAAAAGTTTAACTTAGAAGTGCTTGTCTATTTTTAAGCTTTCTCGTCGTTTTCTTTCCACTAACTCGTTGCAAAATGCTTCGCCACGTTTTGAGCTTTGGAAGCTCTCCAAGTTATTAACTAAGGAACTGTATAATGGATCCCACGGATGTAATTAGCAGCATAATGTGTTTTCTCTCTTTTAAATAATAAATTTTAATCCTTTGTTCATATTGCTTACATTATTCTTGTTTTGCCGTAATTAAGTAATATTTTTGATTACTTCTTCTGAATGCTAAACTTCCTATTGTGTGATAAGGCACTTATTTGCTGCATTCTTAAGTGAAAAAAAACTTGCTTATCAATAAAAAAAAAAATACTGCGGCACTTCTTTTCGTTGATGTTTTTTGGATATATTTGACCCATACTTTTATTTAGACAAATGTAAGAGCACATACTAATTTTAAAATCTTTTAAATAGTTTATAGCTTACTGCTTTTTGAAAATTGATAATCGCTTGAGCTCATATAACATTTTTTAAATTTTAAATGGCAAAACTTCGGTTAGCTATTCAATAAAAAGTCACTGTCTAGTCACTGAATCAGTTTAACTTTTGTCTAACTCTTTAACATTCAAAAATAACGGAAATGACGAAAACTTAACTTGGAAAAAAATTAGTAACAACTAACTCACATAAAAAATTCAATTCTCGCTTGCAATATTGAATTAGATAAGCGGCATAAAAAAGTCAATATATGTGTGAGGTTTTCATAATGTTGGAAGCTTTGATAACTCAAAATACTATGTTTTATTGGATAAATAAACGTTGGGAATCATATCAATTGCCAGTGAGAAACTGACGTGCATAGGAAGTTTATTTTTTGAGTAAAGATTTCATATTTCAGTCTTTAGTTGATGTGGGACAAATTGAACTTCTAGCAAGGCAGCTTTCTATTTTAATTCTTTATGTGAAGTATCTACTTCATTTCAAAACAATATATCTGCCCTGTTTGCTTAGAAGTAAGCAAGAACAGTATTCGAGAAATCTTGAATGTTTTTAAAAATGGTTAGATGTAAAAAAACGAAATTAGACTTAGGAATCCCATTAATTGCTTAGAATCAATGTATGACATCATTTTGGAAAAATATTTTGATGATAGGAATAGTTAAGCAGTTAATAAGCTGAGAATCTTTGGGGAATTCTTGATCAATGTGATTTTCTCCTTTAGCTTTACTAATACGTGGTTAGAATGTATTATCACTTAATGTGTTAGCATTGTCTCGATACTCTGATAACAAACAGAATTATTATTCCGAAAATTTGTTATCAATTTTAAAGCAATCTGTAACATACACATATATTGGGCAGGGAAATCTTTCTCGTTCATTATTTTCTTGATATATCAATATCAACAATTAGAAAAGTATTTGTGTTTACCATCTCGGACTATCACTTCGTTTGTCAGGTAAATAAAGCATATTTGAATTTAACACTAAAATAGAAGAGGCATTGCACATCCCTTAAATTATTTAATAATTCATATTCAAAGTTTGTTTATTTATTGCAAACTGTATTTGTTGCTTCACGTAATTCATAGTTTCTTCTGGTGTTTTCCTATTTACAGTTTTTTATTTTAATATTTTCTGAAAAACAGAAAACGAATCAAAGATAATTGAATATGATCGCACTTTGAAATAAAAGTGGACAAAATGAGCTTCTTGGCTGATAATGGATTATTTTAATGACACTGTCCAAATGTCTCAAAAGTTAACAAAAATGCACTTATTTTTGCATGTATTTTCTCTCATTGATCTATTTAATTCACTCGTTTTTAGGTTTTCAAGGATAAGCTGACAAATTATTGAAAAGAAAAGGTTTTTTGTTTTACTATCACTTTGTTCCAGAAATTTTTTTCATGGTGTTTTTTAGTGAAACTGTATTAAGACGGAGACATTCATTATTGATTGTTGAAATTGGATGTATTTTAGAAGAAAATCATTTCGTTTAACTGAATCAAAAGCATAATCAGTCAGGCACATGAAATGCAATCATTTAACGACTGCACTGATGAGTTTGCTAGGAAATCTGGTACAAAATATCGACGAGCATACAGTTCTACCATTTGAATTAGTAAATAGTTCTGATCGAATCCCGCAAGAATTGTCATCAGTAAGCAAGTTCATTTTATCCTTTATATTCACCTAAGCATGCATTATCCAAAGTTTTCATAGGGTAAAATGTCAACTGGAATGATGTATTTGCTATGGTGCAAAACTGAGATAGAAATCCTTGAGATGGAGGTGGTCGGTTGTGTTTGAATTTCTCCGTTATGATAATGCTACTGAAAATGTTATTATAGAATCGGGATGGAGAGCAATGGAATACGAAATCTTTCACAGTTAAACAATATTTGTTTGCTTTTGTCGAGGTAAATAGAAAAATCTTTTGCAAATCTTCCAAAATCTTGGAAGCTTTTGCTATCAGTTTCAAAAAGCTACAAAATTTAAAAATGGTTATGGTTAGCACTATGGAACCATCTTTACTATAATAATCTTAGTTTATCAGTTGCAATGACAAGAGCAAAATTTTCATAAGACTGTCAGGATGGCACTATTATTCGATTATTTGGGAACAGTATAAGAATTCTTCTGTGCATATTATAAGGAAGCAGGCCATCTTGACAATTTCTCTAATACATCAGGCATCGCTGGTAGCACACATCGGTTCATTTGTTAGCATGAAAATAACATTGATCAAGTTTGCAAAAAAAGAGTCTATTTGATGCTTAAATCAATTAATACCTTTTCATAATCACTCATAATTCTCGATCGCTCATCATACCTACTCTTCACAATGTGTTCTACTTGCAAAAAAAAACGAAAAAAACATTAATATGATATACATTTAAAGCATAAAGCGATATGGAATGCTTTTTTTCTAAGTTGAACTTCACAACATTCCCAAATTAGTTTTATTTCCTTCGATAATGCATTCTCCTCGATTTTCTCTATAAATACTTTTGTCCGATGAGTTTGCTATTGCTTCTAAGCCCCTCCTTTCTATTTAAAATTACATACTCATCATCTTTCATGCTCGTTCAATTATTCCATTCAAACAGTATCATCTTTCATTCCTTTTAGGATGCCTTTCTCAGTTCAAATGATTCAGAATCCTTAAATACATTTACGTTACTTTCTAGTACTTTTCTACAACATGATCTCTTTAAAATGCGTCTTTTCACTTCCGCCTTTCTTCGAAATCCCCAGAGAAAATATTGACTCCACACTCACTATTCTGCATAGTTGCATAGCAGCACCGGTCTTAATTATATCTCATTACTACGTCTTGCAATCTGCCTGACTGCCTCCTTGATTAAGTTCCAGATTAAAGCCTGGAGCAGTCAAAGAGTTATAAATTTATTGCTGGAGTTTGGTACTTGTTACGCAAAATTACCGATAGTTTATGGATGAATTTCTTGTTGAATGACGTAAGACATAGCTAGTCACAGTGATGTGAATGAAAATTATCACAAGAATTTATTGCAATTTAGTGAAAGAAACATTTAATTTAATGCCAATCACAAATTCTGACAAACGTAGCTAATAAACGTAATTCTCCATGAAAAATGAGTGCAAGTAAAGCATTATTCTCTTATTCGCTAAAATTATGTAACTTCGTGACAGCTTTCTATATTTTTCAAAAATTTCATTCATTTTTACTAAATATCTCTTCTTTTTTACGAATTATATTCTCTGTCTAACTTGCTCAATAAATTTTTGAGATTTTAGATAATATACGTAACTTTGAAAATCCTCATCCATAATTGAATTTTTGAACGCTTTGAAGAAATATCATGAAAAATTATATTTATAGATCATTTTACAGGTGTCAAGCGCTAGAATGAAGGATGATTGTGATGAATGGCGACAGATTTTTACCCGGATCGATTCTTATTTTAGGAATGATATTGTTCTTGAGGGTACAAACCATGCTTCTGCTCAGGTATCTAACCAAATAGATAGCTCGGTATTTTTGCACGGATCCTATGCCAACTGTTATTCGATAAAACCTTAATTTGGGGAGCTATTTAGCTATCTACTGTTTACAAAACGAGCTGTTTTTAGTGATCATTTGTCGGAAATATTTGAATGAATTAATAGTTTGGTGTTTTAAAAGATACTATTTGAAATACAATTTCTATTTGCAATTCGGAGTGGTTGACAAATTAACATATTACTATTAGCGATGAATTGAAAGTTTTTGTGCTTTATTAAATTAAAGAGAACATAAGAAAATTTCAAATCGAATCAGTCATTTGTATATGCAGAAATTTCCCTGAATAGAATTTCCTGAGACGTTAAAGTTGTCAGGAAAATCGCTTCGTTTCAGTAAATATTGACCTGTAATGTAGAAATCGCACAGATTTTCAAGATTCATGTAATTTTTTTTAAATAATATATATATAATGTATTTGTCACGCAAAGTTTGACTAGTTTTTTTATATTTCAAATACCGAGCCTTGCAGTATAAAATTTGAAACAGGGCTGATAGTTATGGAATTGAGATATTTTGTCAATTATTTCTAGTAATTCTTGCGAACATTACTAACAAGAAATCACCAGTGGCAATGGAACATAATTGATTATGGTGCACATTAATAAAACAAAATATCTCTTTCGCCACTTTTGCAATAATTTCCGCTTAGATTAAACTAGCTAAACGAAGCTTAATTATTATTTCATATGTTTTATGTGTTGCACTCAGTATTGATTTTGAAACTTGATGAAACCACATCGACAGCTAAATTTCTTCGAGATACATGGTTCAAAGTATTTGATGAGAAATCGCTTTTGAAAATGAGCCATAAAAAAGGAATAAAACAACAGAAATCCAGATATCAGAGATGAAAGTTAATAAATTCTAGAATTGGTGGGATACCTTCAGGAGTTTTAAAGTAACGTGATATTGCCATTTTACATTGTATGAAACGCTCTTTTCTAGAGAAGAATATTTAAATACTATCTATAAATCCTTGTTGTGAGCTTTGCCTTATTTTATTTTGATTTCTAACTTTGCAGATAACAACATAGGCCATTAACTTAAATGTAATATTAATATTTCAGCTATTGGTAAGGAAGAGAAACATCTTGCATTATCTGACTTAAAAGTGCATCATTGAGGAATTTGAAATGAAACTCAAATTTTGTTATGACTAATTAATAGTAATTGCATGAAATTTTTTAAAAGCTATAATCGAATATATTAAGTGCAAGAATTTATTGCAAAGATATAATTCTTGCTCTTAAAATATTCGATTATAGCTTTTAAATTATAATTTATAGAAATAATTTTGAAAATAACTACTTCCGAAATTTGAAAGAAAATATAATGTGAATTTAAAAGAATTGAGAGATGAGTAATGAAAAATAAATATTTGGAACTACTTTATTTGCAGCTTGGATGGTGTATCACAGCAGCCTATGTAGTTGTCATATTATTTGGAGCATTTGGGAATATGCTTACTATTATTGCTGTCCTTTACAATCCACAAATCAGGACAACAAGAAATTTTTTCATTCTTAACCTGGCTTTATCCGATTTTTTCATCTGTACTATCGCTGCTCCAATCACTTCTTATACAGTGAGAATAAATTTACTTCATTCTCCTCATCTCAGTTTCATTATTTGCAAAAAATGTTTTGTCATTTCGATTTCGAAATATATTCTTGAAAGTCAACTAATTGCTCCAATAATTAAATACTTGCTAAAAGTTCGTTCTCGAATACGAATAACTGAAAATGAAATGTGAAGTTGAAAAAAGTCATATATATTTTAACTCAGATAATTTTCATGCTATTTAATTTCAAAGCCCAGGATTATACTTTAAATTTTAATCTTCACTCTTTCATTCGCATCAGGGCGATAAAAAAAAATCGTTGTTCTAGGTGTTGTATACATTCTGGCCATTCGGCTTAGCAATGTGCAAAATAACCGGTTCTTTACTTGGCTTCGGTATTTTTTTATCAACCTTTTCTATAGCAGCAATTGCTCTCGACCGGTAATTAGTTTTTCCAAATTTGTACAGTTACTCAGTAAAGCTCAAGGTAGCGTAATTTACTGTTTACGCTAGTTTGGGGAACAATTACATTTGTAACACTGGTATGACCAGGCGTGAATGGAAATGCGATCGGATTTTTCCGAAAAATCTAAAATGTTGACGCTATTGAAAACTAAAAATGTTTTTTAGATGCGTTGTAATCATATTTCCAACAAAACGAAAACGTCAGCATAATCTGGCCTTATTATTATTTTTCTTAATATGGGTCATTTCAATTGCATTAGCATTGCCGTTACTGATAACTTCGGATTTGAATACAGTATTCGATGATGACAAGTGCGGCATTTCTTTAAAAATTTGTCATGAGAAGAATGAAATTTGGAATTTGGTATGTTATTTTTTACGAATTTTATCTCCATCATTCTTCAGCAATAACGCAGTTGTAAAAAATGTAAGTAATCGAGGAAAACAGTGAAAAAAAGAGAAAAATTTTCGAGACTAATAATCAATGGTATTTCACAAAATGATATCAGATTTCTCAGAATGCATCAGATTTTAGATGCCCATAAGTAAACGAACATATACTTTGGCAGTACTGTTAACACAGTATGCACTTCCGCTAATATCAATTGTCTTTGCATACAGTACCATTGCTATGAGGATGCAAATTAGGATGAATAGTCGTTTTGCTTCTTCTGCTTTTGCTGCCAATGCTATCAACAACGAAAGGAGAAAGTGAGATTTTATATTGATTTCTATCAAAAATAAGGCAAGTATTTTTTTCTTTAATATTTTAATAAGTAAGATAAGATATTAACCGCTGTAAAATTGATTAGTGAGGAAGTAAATCGCTGGAACTTCACTTCAGGTAGGACGAAGGATCACTCATTAAAACAGTATTTCTGGGGCCTTTCTCATCACACTGTGATGGGATAACATCTAAATTTAACGGTCAACCTATAGCAGTGTTATGATTTGCTTGCACATTTCAGAAATATGTTCTTTGTCATGACCTTGCATAGTCACAGCGATTACGCATTCGAAAATATGTAGATGCTAAATCAGCGTATTAGATTAACGTTTCAAATACTTTCAAGATAAAAAAATAATGGAAACTAATTAGAACTCGGCTTACAGCTAATCAATTAATTTGACCTAATAATGAATAAGCTAGAATAGTTTTTTTGCTTGGAAATCAAATGAATAGAGCTGTACAGATCGGTGGCAGGACGACAACGACGTACACACCTACTACTTATTTGCGTGGTGATCGTTTTTGCCGTAGCATGGCTGCCACTAAACGTCTTTCATGTGCTTAATACATTTGGAATTGTCGAGTTTTCCGTGCCCTTATTTGCGATGTGCCATTTAATTGCAATGGGTTCCGCATGCTTAAATCCTGTCTCATACGCATTCTTCAACCAAAATTTCCGGCAACAATTCATCATGTTCTATGAAGCAGCAATAAGGTAATTGTTTGGAATAGATGAATCAAGCAAGACGACCATTAGCTGCATGTAGCTATTATTCCCTAAAATAACTAACTCTCAGTTAATCTATTTTATTTAACAGTATTTTCTCTTCGTTTTTAAAAGAGTAATTGAAAATTCCGAAAGATTTTATGAATGAAATCCATGTTGTCAGATCCAAACACTAGCTCTGAATTTTCATGGCAGGGAATTGAATGCTACTATATCACAAAAAAAAGATTCAAGCTTTTAAGAATAATATTCATTTAAACATACTTCTTACACTCAGTATATTTTATTATTTTTTCGGAAATCGAGTTTGAAAAAATTTGATAACCTATTATGCAACTTCCTATATAACATTTAATTACAAGTCTTTTTCATTCTAAATCTTCACTCTTCCTTGCGATGTTTTTCATAATCTCTATATCCCTATCTTTCACTATGAATTCTTTAGAAATTAATTACTAGATGCGATAAATTTAGGAAAATTTTACAAATATTCGGTTGGGTAACGCCGGCAAGATATAAGCACGATCGGATGAAATACAATCGATCAGCGAGAGCTGTGATTGCCACGCATACTCCAACTATTAATGTGCAGTTTATGCGAAAAGGTGACGATGACGAGAAATCAGAGCAGGCTAAAATTGATTTGAATGACCATTATTAATTCACGTTCATTACCTTACCTCAAATTTTAGTTGAAATTTTCTTTACCATCAGGTTAACAGTTTATCAACAATATAACGGGCATTTTTTTACATATCAAACAGCTCAATTATTTATTCGAAGTCTTGCGACTTCAAAACTTCAAATCGCACTTCAAAACATCGTTTAAATTTGAATTGCCAGTTCTTTTTAGCATACAAAAAATTATGCCTGAGAATTTCAAAATACAATGCCTTATAAGGTTTGCCCTTAAAATTAATAATGAAATGGTGATTGCATAATTTGGATGAGTTATTTACTAGTGGGATAAATTTTTTGCCATGCTAATAGTTAAGATTGTTTCCTTTACTTCGTCATCGTATTTGCCCAATTGGAATTTCAGTTTTCTGTTGTCTTAACTAGCAAGTTTGCAACAGTGCGAACAACAGGGCACTATCGCATGCTTGTAACTATAAACGGTGATGTAACGTATATGCCTATAATTCACGTATTGTTGGTAATATTTATATAATCAAACTATTGTTGTACTCGTAAAATCTATGTTACGGAAATCTTTTGTCTCAAATATTCTCAGTTAAATGCTAGGATATATTTTATATTTCACTTCACTGCGAATAACACAAATGACTCTCTTTTACTACCAGCTTCACCTTCAAAGAAATAGGTGATCGTTAGTTCACCATCAGCTTTATCTATTGCATGTCTAAACGATTTTTGGTTCCCCATCATTTTTATGTACAAAATGAATATCTATTTATTAAAAACAGTGCTGATCAAGCAGCAGCTTCCAACTCGTAAAAGCGTATTATAATGTAACTTATTGCTCTAAGACGAAGCGGTCTTACCGCCTATATTCTGAACTATTACCTCAATATATAGTTTCAAATTATCCTTCCGGATCAGTAGTAAGGAAGAACAATGAAGTGATCGACTCGACTGATTATAACTCCTGATAATTATATCATAACATCAAGAAGAATAAACCTTAATCAAATAATAAAACTTTTAATACAGTTAGACTGTGCCACATATAGCTATCTCGAACTCCATAAAAAATTCATACAGATATTATTTTACTTTTACAATTGTTTAAATGAGAAACAATGATTATATTACAAACTTGCAACATCTTTTCATCCACATTTTTTCTCTCTAGCAGAAATATACTTCTTTAATGTAGTTACGGAAACGACTCATTCTAAAAACTTGATTTTTTCGCAAATGGATTGGAATTTGGACTTTCACGAAATGTAAATTCTGCACTGAACTTTCCAAGGAGCTCAAATTCCTAACTCCGACTAGAGCAAGGCATGTATGGATTTGACGGCGCCGCAAATGTGTGATTTTATTTTTGTTGTGACCATTGTGATGCGGACGAATAAAGATTACTGGATATTAGTGAAAAATTTTAGTTATAATTCATTAATATTTCACAGCCTAAGCTAACTGCAAGTCTTCCTAATCAAAGTATTTAGATTTTCTAAACCACAAACTATCCGAATCAAGACTACACTACACTCAATTCAAAAACATCACTGATATTCAGCGTTCAATAGGAAATACTACAACAAAATTACGGTAATAACAAATAATATATCATTTTTCTCATGGGTAATATCTGATGGGTAATACTGATGGGTAATGTATTTTTTCTGATGGGTAATTTTTGTGATGGATAATTTCTGAATTATGGTAATAACAGTATGTTATTTTTTCTGATGGAGACATACTCGAATTCGGAACGAATTGCACTGACAAAAACGAAAGACCACATCCCTTTATTAGCGACATTGACCCATTGGTTAATGAATCTCATTAATTTAACTATGCCTGTAATTTTATTTCGAATTTAAATGTGAAAAATACTTTTATCCGTCTGAAGTGAACACCCGTCCACCTAAATAAGCAGTATTCCTAAAGATGTATGGAGTACAATTATCAACGTCTTAAAAATTTATTTTGGTACTATCAGTCGCGAAATGCATATGGCACAAAAATATGATGCTGTTCAGGCCGATGCATGATTTACACATATGAGTTATGGGAAGTATTTCAGCATAAAATGGAAATACAAACTATCATAGTGCAACAGATATGAATTTAATATAAACTTAAATTCGTTTAGGATAAGCAACAGTGTTGGTTTGCTCTCTTGAACAATCCTGCCACGCCACAAGCTGAAGATTAATGAGAGTCCTTTCTCTCTCTTGTTGAATCCTTCCTCTCTCCCATTCACTAACACCATTAAACACTCCTGAGTACTATCACGAGTTTTTACGTGGTGGTAACGATTTCACAGAGCTCTGACGCACATTGGTCAAAACAATGGCTTCTACTTTCTGTTCCTGTACCATCATCCTCAACCATGTGTAGTGTTCACATTTCTCGGTATTGTCCGCGATGCTCTTATCAATCGGAGAATACGTCATCAACCTGATGAAGAGTACTTGTTCTTTGTGATCGATTTTCCGAACGAATTTTAGCATCCCTATAAGCATTAACCCTGATCAATGATCACATTTCGCTTTGCTGACCAGCACTTCCAGAACGATCATATTGGTCGAAACAGGTGTCGCTCTTCTTGCTCGTGATAATACGATCTACAACAGATTGTCGTTCACGTTCATTTCCTGTATTTTGTACAATAACCATCTCTTACATCAAAATAATTCAAATTTACTGACACGACAATCAGTCTGAAACTGATAAATTTCATCACTAAAGTTGCAAGCCAATAACCAACACAGCACATCCTTTCAGTGGGGAGCAAAATTATTCAGAGATTTTGATGATCTGCTTTCATTCCCCAGTCCACAATTACCTCACGAAATTCATTATGCAACTGTAGGTCATTAACAAAAGGCTATTTATCTCAACTATTAAATGACCCGAGAATCGAAAAACCAGTACTTCAAGAGTAGCAGCCCAAGTAGTCAAACTTCGATCCACCTATCTCTAAGTCTCACCTACCCCACCCTACTCCCACTTCTCCACTCTCGTTTGACATCAGCAACCGCCGATCGATCTTCGCTTTTCATACTGCACAGTCCGTGCATTTTCATAGTGTCTGCTTTCCACTGCAGCTGAGAAAACGCGGCCGTTGAAATCATTGCATAAAGTGGCATGGTTCTAAGTGGGTGGGTGGGAGTTGTGATGTTGCGCGGGTTAGAGGTCATGCGGTGTCTTGTTAGGTAGTGACACTGGTGCTAATAATTTGTAGGTGAATATGATAAGTTGTAATGTACTGTTGTGTTAGATCTCTTGATAGATATATTGGAGAAATTTATTAATTTGGAATCTCTGACTTTTTTACAAAAATGCATCAAGATGCCCCAAAAGATTCATCTGGCTCTTTTACAAAAATGCATCACTTATGGAGTCGAAGTCGTAGAATCATTGTAGTTCAAATATTTCAAGCGTGAAACATAACCTGCAGCAAGGATTGCCGATTTTCTGCTGAAATCACGAAGTCCTTTTTAGTATCGGTTAAAAACAATAATTCCTTTTGAAAACAACACATCTTTACTGTTAGTTTCTAAATAGTGCTTCAGAACTTTATTTTATGACATTGTAGGTATTTTTCTATTTAATACGTTTACATATCTCATTGGTGGTGTGTTGGTTGAAATAGTAAGTCTCATTTTTGCAATTCCATATGTTGATTATATGTAGAAGGCTCCAGGAATTTTTTTCCTTTTGTTGCGTTGACTAAGATGAATGAGGCAAGTATTATAAAAATGATTGTTAGAGAAAATTGGAAAAAGAAAGATAAGTAAGATTTCATCCAGGTCAGAAAGATACTCATTTTGTTGCTTCAATCAACAACGATGATTCTGTTTAAAATTTTGTAGTTTTTGAAATAACACTTAAAAAATATTGTATTTCAGCTAAGAGATGACAATTCTGCTGCAATATGCTATTTATCGGGTCAAAGGATCCGACGAACAATCAGTTTTCTGATAAGTTCGTTACTCATATTTTTTCAAGTTATGTCTGTCTAACTTCAGTTGTGAAAAGTTTCTTCATTGTGAAAAACTTGCATTTTCCAGGACTGCGATCGTGCTAATCGGGAAAAGCAACCAGCACTGTATTCCGGTTTTATTCCGCTACAATCGCTTCACTTATCTTTTCACCCGGTTAGCAGATCTTCACCAACCGACTATATGATTGCGGCAGAAGAGGAGAGTCTTGCGGAATCATTTATAAACAAGGTTTGTTTGTTGTTCTAAAAACTATTGTTTTAATATGGGAAACTAAACTGCTTTTTTGCTGTTCTAATTTTTTGCACGTAAGTACATGCAAGGCATTAAAAACTGAGTTAAAAGAATTCCTAATCCAGGAAGAAACTATGGAGCAAGAAGATGGTGAAGTTAGTGATGCGTCCAACTGTGATGTAAGTTTATTTTGACATTACTGAAAGAAGAGGTTGCTCTTTGGAGTAAAGTGCTCTGTTTTGGGGATAGTATTATTTTTTATCTCATGGAAATATTAGTACTTATTTAGATAGTGAATGATGAAGGTGAAATAGTGGATCAACAAATGAGCCAATCAAACCGTGAAGAGGATGATATATCAGCAAAGACAGACGTTAACGTTTCGAAGAAAACAGCTCTTGAAAAATTAAAGAATATGAGTTTTAGTTCTAAATCGAAACTTCCTGTACGAAGGTTAGTACTTATATACTGATCAAATTTAATTTTGAAAAAAAAATTATCTGTTTTTGCAGTTCATCAATGGAGCGACGAGAAAGAGAAAAAAAAGATCGACAAACTCTCATGTAAGTTACATATATATGGATTTTCCATTTTAAGTTTGCTTTAATATCTGCTTGTTTAATTTTGAGAAAAAAAAACATAAATTAATGATTTCAGAACACCAAAACTGCAACATTCACCTCGTCGCGACAACGACGAAGAAAGGCGGCAAAGGAAAAGGCGTTGGGAAGAGCGGAATGATGAAGTATTCTGTTTACCTCCACATTTTTAGGATTAACATAAAGATTTTGTGTTAAACCTATACCCAACTTTTATCGTCATCCCTATTCCTGTTTGATAGGTGCTGTCATCTGTTCGTGATTTATTAATGTCGCAGAATGGTAAGCATATTCTTGGAATAATATCTCTTTCCTTTTGGTAAACATATGGGAAAAGCTCGTGATGCTGAGTTTCGTGATGCTGAGTTAAGTGCTGTTAACTTTTCATCATGTTTTTAGCAGGAACATCATCAGACACTTGTTGAAGAACGACCTAGGCCATTGAGGGAGGCCGTTACCGCTGCCCATGTGACACCATTACCAATAAGTAAACCTTTGGAGCCAGCTCGTCCTAATGATCAGCCTCATACGTTGCGGCAACGCATCGAAAAACTCATTACTGTCCAGGAGAGCGAAGTAAAATTTTTTTGCTTTTGGATGATGGATAATTTTCCTATCTAATTACTTTTTTTTAACATTATTAACTCCAGGCTATTAACATGTCCGACAAAGAACTCAGAAATTTGATAGCACGAATGTGTGAACTCAGTAAAGAACAGCAACGATTACAGCGAGGTCGACAAATTCAATTTGAGTAAGTGGTTTAACATTGTAGGTTTTGCATACTCCATCGTTTTTAATTGAGAATGTAATTGATTATCATTTATGTTATGAATCATATGTTATAAATTTGGATTCCCTTTCTAAAGTATTTCATTTCCGATTCGTGGATAGATTTTTGTACGTAGATTAAACAACAGAGGTTTATATCCTTATACATTTCACAGTACACTACAAGAAATATATATGGAGGTGAAGGATGACATTGAGAAATTGTACATCCGCGTTCCGGTTCATTTGCGAATGGATTTTCCGCTTCCACCCCAAACTCTGCATCCTTCTGCTTCATCTTCCGGCGGTATTCCTTCAGTTGTATTTGAAAGTATCGATTTACACTTATTTTGCTGAATTTTTCTCGTATTTAGTCAGAACTAGTTTTCTTTTAATTTGGTTTTTGTAACTTCTGATGTATTGAAGGAACTATTTACATAGTATGAAGAAGTTCCTAGAAAAACTATTTATTCCTTCCCATTTACTTGTTTTTAACGTCTTTGCAGGTCCATTACAAATGAACGGGAGAACGACTGCTTTTCAACTGGAGCAGCGATTCCGGTTACCAAGTCGTTTCGATCCATCTCAGACTGTTACAAATGCAAACATGCAGCTGAATTCTGGCAATGATCCTGAAGTCATTGTGCGAAACAAAGAAGGATGCGTTGGAGGACGAATAGGATTCGGTGAAGTTGGAAGTGTTTCTAGCGATGCGCAGAGGGCATTAGGTAGTAGGAATGGGGGAATTTACAGTAGTTTGAATGAGCACGGAATGTTCGAAGATATAAGTCGAATTGGATTGGGGAGCGGTGGTACATTGCTAAGGAATGATGGCGGATCAAATCCAACTACTACTGTGGAGCGTGTTCCTCATACAGATTCAAGTTCGGAGCCGATAATACATTCTGCTAACGGTAAAAAACCGCCATTTCCTAGCTTGAACGGTCCTGCCCATTTAGATCAGTCTGCTTCAGTGATCCCTTCAACGAGCGCATGTGATCTTGGTCCTAAGCCGCTATTCAGCAGGTTAGACTTCGGTGACGGTAGTTCCAGATTTTCTGAAGGCGGATCTTCTCATGATTTGCCAGCTCAGATGAGTAGCTTTAGCGATCGCCCGGCGCAATTAATGAGCTTTGGTAATACAGCCAGTCCAAATCAGGCATCACATTCCATGGGACGACAAATCTACGACACTCCTGATAAATCAGCAACATCAACGTATACTGTGGTGCAGACAAATGCTTTAAAGAAAATAGAATCTGGAGGTAAATGTTGTATGAATGCTACATTAGTTTATTTGAATGACACTGGAATATATACAAGGAATACTGTTGAAGTGGTAAGATTATTTTAAATTCGTTAATTTTTTTCTGAAGACTAAATTCTTTTTATTTGGTTTTTATATTCAATTCCAGAGAATGATGGTGGCATACGAACAGTAAATCAGCACTCTTTCATACACTCGGGATCACAAGGCCCGAATAGTTTCATCCATCTGAATAAGACTCCTTCTCCAATGTCTGATTTTTCCCCGAATGTTTCATTGAGGTGTTTTTTGCAGTTTCTTCTTTTCTGATTTAGTATTATTCAGCGCCTTTGAATTGTAGAGAAATTTTCACACGAAATAACATGAAAGCATGAAAGATAGGATTTATTTCACATTAAATTGTTAATCTGGGTCTTTTTAAATGACAGTGAGCATTATACATCCATTATCTAGCACTTTAACCTTTTTTAACCAACCGAGCTTACCACTGCTAATTTATATTTTCCATCTAATCAATTTGACATTAAACCAGAATTATTAGATACAGGTGTTTGTTTTCTTAATTTTTAATCAGAAAAATTTTTCAGAGCAGTATCGAATTCAGTGGATACCGACAGTGCTCTGTGTAGCACATATCATGGAAGTCCAATCCGTTTGAACTCAAACGAGATTCAAAGCAGCTCACAAGTACCTCTTCCAAATCTTTCCGAGCCACCTCCACCTTTTGGAACAGCTCCTATAAATGGCCCATCTGTATTACGGAATAAAGTATCGAATACGGTTTTTTTGAATACGATGCAAAGTTCCAATATTGTACCATCGCAAGCAATACCAGCACCAACTGGTTCTGCTCCAGCGTACCCTTCGGAGCATGCTGTTGGTACCATTCAACCACTTTCCTCGACCTCCACTACTAGCGCGCTGAATGTTTTATCTGGAAACAACAATGCTACCCAGAACTTGCAACCACAACCCGGGAATGCTACCGTTGCCGCTGCGCAGCCATTAATATCATTACATTCCGGATCATCTGCAGTCAGCGTTCCGCCTCCTGACTTCTCTGTTCCTCCACCGTTAGCACCATCACTGACAGCAAGAGCAAATGTTGCTAAATCTATCACTACTAATCTTTTAAATCATGCTGAGCCAGCCAGCTCTGCTGATTCAAGGACAGGACCAAACCCAGCTCTCCAAAGAAGTTTGTCACATATAAAGGGAGGAGTATTAACAAGTAGTACTGTACTGACTGGTTTACCTTCAATGAATGTCCCACCACCTTCCTTTTCGATACCACCTCCTCGAGCACCAAATGTTGGCCCTGTATTTCCCACTCCTCCACCGATGGCTACTAGTGGAATAACTTCTGGACCGAGACCTGCTAATTTGGTATCTCCCATAGTTGTGCCACCTCCAAATCTTATGTCGGGACCAGTAAGTTTAAACTGTCCACCACCTGATATGTCTCAACCTCCACCTAACATCCGTAGTACGCTGGGAGCGAGCAATCCAGAAAATATTCAGCAAATTGTCAATGCAGTGGTTGGTCAATCTACTGTAAGTGGCCAGACGCCTGTAGAAGTTGTAACAGAATTAATCGCAAATGCTTACAATAGAGCTGGAGGCGTCAGGCTTCATCATGATGCATCATTAAAGCAGCGAATGTCTGTAGCCACGGAGAACACCGTCATGATGAATAAAATGAGAACTCCTACACCCGCTGGACCACCAAGACCACTTTCTTCGGTAGGCAAATTGCCACCACCACTTATGCTTTCACCTGGAACTCGTGGTGGTCCCGCCTCGAGAATTTCTAGTTTTAACAAGCGCAAAGGATTGCAGATTCGACCATCATCAACTCGTCCGCAGCAGCGTCAAAAGCGACAAATCAGCGATATGGTAGCCATCATTCCGGATGAACATGGTAATTAAGCTGCATTACAGTATTATTCCTCGGCAGATCGGGTAGCAAAACATCACTTCATTCTTTGTGGATCATTATTCTAGAATTTAAGCTTTTTCTTTTTTTCATTCATATTTTCAATTTGCGGGAAACAAAAAGCATAAATTTCAGACCATCCCAGTTCACGCGAAGAGCCAGATGACAATATTTTTCTGATAGTGTCTGATGAAGAGGATGGCAACAAGTAGTGATACAAATGGAAGCCATCACTTGTACATCAGTATTTTTCACACAGATAATACTCGTCGATAGGAACATTTTCTAGGTTAAAACATCTAATTGGACGCCTAAATGTACCATTTCGCACCCAAATCAGCCGAAGTGCTCGCTAGATTAGTCATCCTTGCCCATCGATAGTAATTAATTTACGGTTATTATAATACTCTACTTTTGTTATTTGTATCCAATTACCTCACATGAAAATAGGTAAGTCTTATTTCTGAAATTTTGGTTGTAACAAATGCCATTCGCAGAAAATAGGCGGTATTACCGTACGATAATCCGTTGAATTTTGGCAATTAAGCGTGATTTGTAGACGTGACCCGTCATGCTATAATTTCTTTTCCTCAGCATATTCTTCTTCAGCTTGGACTATTTCAAATGTACCTTTTTCAAGGTATTAGAAATAAGACTAACAGCAGTAAGGAGTATTTTGAGTATTTTGAATAGCTTTCATTTTAATAATTGTATTGAGACAAATCGTCCATCAAAGCGTTTTTTCTTTACATGCAATATTGTTTTAAAAGTAATTAGTTTAGTATTATTTTGCTTCGCTGTTTTGCATTTGTTATCTGTTTTTTATTCTGGTTCCATTTGGAATTGAAATAATTAGTAGTAATTCTTTTAAAATATTTCTCGAAAATTTTAGCAGATTCTGGAATTACCTTAGTATAGCTTGAAGCTAACTTAACGTCTGAATAACGACTATCATATCTTGATTTATTCCAGTTTTTTCATTTCGATTCGTGCATTTCAAGATTTCCAGGATTTCGTTTTCAATATTCTGTATTGAAAGAATAATTTTTTAACATTTTGGATTGTGAATAAGTTTTTCGAAAGACTATTATTTGTTTTTGAAACAGCATCGACTGCAGCGGCGTCAACAATCGACAGTTTGCGACCAAATCGACTCACGATTTTATTTTTATTTCGTTTCCCTTTTCTTATCATTGGTCATATTAATATTTTTTGATGGAAATTGTGTGTGACACATCGTTTTATCATATTGTGAATATATTTAAACATTTGAAGTTGTCATTTTACATGTTGTAGATTTTATTTCAATTCGACATTTTGCGCTTCGATATGAAGTGTTTTTTTTGTATTTCGCCTTTTATCACACAAAACTTCCACGAAACCCGTATCTGGATACTTATTTCAGCACGGTGTGGAAGTGGCAACGGTTGGACAGTTTCGAAGCACAGCGGGTTACGTAGCCCAGAAGCTTCCAAGCAAGCTGGAAATGTGGTGCCAGGTGTTGGTTGGTGAAGACTGTACGTCCGAACCATTGATGACTTTTGACCGATGAGTAGATTGAAAAGAGCGATTTTAACGACTGGCAGTGTAAACCTTTATTGGGAGATTTGCGAAAAGTTCTGTCGGACTTACATCCCGGGGGGGTTATGTGGTACGAGTGGACAGTCCAGGTAGTCATACGATACAGCTGATGACTTATTTGTAAGCCGAATATTATTGAAATGCTGGAATAATATTGCCGTTCGGTGTTTGGTTGATGGTTCACTACTTTAGATGATGGGATAAATAACACGCTTTTTTCTATTGTCTACGAATTTTTATTTTTATCACATTATTGTGACCTAATGAGGGGAAGAAAACCTTGTTAATTTGTAAAATATCGTTCATCTTTCATGAGATGCCTTAAATCGTCATCAATCAGTAGGATATCCAAGTGAGTTTTTTTCGGAAGTAGCTCTATTTCGTTCTTAGAAGTAGTGGAGTATTCGAGTATTCTACATCTCTTGCTAAAAATTTGCTCTAAAATGCTTCATTCATGAGCTGCTTAAACAAAACAGGTTTTGAGGCACTTTTTCAAAGGAAATAGATGATTGGAATGGACAAGTTATTTGTTGAAGATAGATTAATAGAGATGGTTGGGAGAGACGATGGGATGAACTGGCCCCACACGTGTAGAAAATATAAATAATATGGTGGAGCTTGGTCGCATTGTGTATCGCCCCATCACGCTTTGCATAGGACGACAGGAGGGGAGTTATCACTTTTCCTCTCATGTGTTCTACATCATTAACGATTTATTTTGCGCTTCCTAATGGTGGTAGAGCTGATTCGATTATTCACTTGTGATAATGCAATTTTCCAAACTTTGTTTTGGTTTCGAAAACTTGAATGGTGAATGGTTTTATAAAACCTTCATTTCTATTTTTTCATAAGAGCAGTGCAAAAACCTTTTCTTATTATTACACGAATAGGACCACAATAAGAAATCCACTGGAATACAATGTCGGGAAGAAGAAAGAATAACTGTAAAACGAAATTTCAAATAACTCTTTTCTTTTGATTTGAAATTCTTGCGATACAAGCTGGAGACCTACTGGGGTATAGTTTCGTAGTTTGTGCGAAATAGGGAGGAAAACAATAGGTTAGTATTGTAGTAGGTAGGGATATAAAGCTGAAAACTATCTAAAATATTTCAACTATAGCAAGCTAAAATCATATATTATAAGCGGGATTCCAATGGATTTCAAGTTTTAAGTTCAAGAAACGTCTGCCTTGTTATTTGACCTACTTCATTGTTATGCACTTGTTCACTAGCAGCAGATTTCTAAAATTAAATTCTTTTTTACTGCATTAGGTGGTACACGCTCGTTTTTTATTCATCTAGTTAGGAAGTATTGCAGGCAACATGCAGAATGAGTTTGAAAAACATCTGAGACTTTTTCAGTTTATCGGAATGGAACTGCTTTAAAAAAACAAGGAAGTGAACATTTCCGGGCAATATTTTATCTAGAATTTATTGTGGGTTGAATGAGCCAGAAAACACAACAATCAGTTACGGATTGTTGGCTTAGGGTTTCTTACAGTGGATGTCCCTTAAACTCGGTTAGCCCGATGTTCCATTAGTCTGTACGTTTCATGTTTTCCCCTTATCTCTGAAGACATTCGCAACGAAGAAAATGAACGGCAAGTAGTATTCCCTTACTTCTACTCTTTGGGTAATTGGAACATTTCGGTCAGAAAATATTTGAATTGTTTACAATTAAAGCCTAATATATAATTTGCAGAAGGAAAAACAAAAAATTTCATAAACTTCTGCACAAATCCAGTATACTTTGAGAATGAATTTCCGAACATCCACAACAGCTAATTCATTAATAAGCTCAAATAAGTTGCCCGGATCTCATCATCTGTTTGTACCCGACAAATCGGTCCTAGCGACCGTGCAAGTCCATCTGTTCCTTCTCCCGGAATGTCCTCATGATTATACAGGAGTAATCTAGGGAACTCCTCAAGAAAGTTCCATTGCTGCCAAAAAAACAGTTACATAGATCCAGCTTTTGAGCTGCAATGGAATATTGTACGGAATATCTCGCAGTGTTTTATTGGGTACAGTAGCAAATTGGTGAAAGCTCGCAGTGATTGAAATGTTTATGGTAGTTGTTATTTTTTTTACTTATTTGGCTACCGGTACAAGATGAAAATGGCGAAATGTTTCGGAATATCCTTCATCTACCTTTTCATAAGATATGGCATTGTCTCCACTTATTTCATCCTTCTCCTTTACTGTATCAGTAGACACTTATGTTAATTTACATTCAATTCATCGTTGAATTTGAAATAACATCCAACGGTAGTTTCCACACGTACACATATATTGCAAAAGTTTCATTTCATGTGTTGCATATACTTTAACGTTTGTTTCACTGCGGCATATTATTGGCATAGTTGGCTGTTATCGCGCTATAGACATATGCTTCCATTTTTAAATGGCTTAGGACATCCTCGGTTTTTATTTGGAAGGTTAAAAGGGTTTATTATCTTTTTCGATTTCACTGCAACATTTCTATCAGGTTTGGAGTGGTTGAAGCTTCAGCATCATCTCTTATTTAGAATCAAGACATTGTTAGAGAACAAAATTTGTGATTCTGGAATCCAAAAACTGTCGCTCTCATGTACATAACATTTTCATTTCACAGAGATGTGCAGATATTTCTTTAATTTCAGCGTCGGTCTTAAAAAGTGCATTGGTCAGGTGATTAAAACGAGTCTATTATGTTTTCACCTGTATATTCTTCTGGTTAGTATTAGTATTTGGCGAAGTGATAATAGAACCTCCCTTTTGTTCCATTTATTAAATAATTTTTCAAGAAATCAAAATTTTCAATATTTGTTTAAGTGTTATGTTGTCTGTATGTAGACTTCATCATCGACCTTATAGCAGATGAATTTCAGGAGGAGTGCATGTGCCACATCCGATGTTTATGTCCCTCCAGGGTGTCCCTAATGCTCCACGTATGTCGTATATCCCTGCTCTTCATCCTTTTCCATTTTCTCCCTTCACGCCAAACGCTTTTCCACCACTACATCGAAATGGAGTTTTGGTGGGACATTACAACAGTGAATGTCCACCTCAACCTCGAAAGTTATTTATCGGTGGTTTGAGTCATGAAACCACCGACGATCAGGTATTATTCACATGTAGAAAAGTCGCAGCCTGATTACAGTTACCAATTCGTTGTTGAGAATGACATTTTCCATATTAAAAAAAACTAGGAATAATCTTATAAATAAATCGAGCATAATGATCCATAAAAAACTTACTCTTAAACTCCAACAAAAAGTAACGAAAAAAGTAATTAAAAAATATTTTTTAAATGAACGATAATCTCATTATAAAGCTTTTCTAAATTTCTAACATGCTTTGTACATGAACATAATTTATTTTAAGTTAATAATGTACTGCGGTTTTGCGTTTTTTCTAGGTTTTTGACCCATTTAGGGATGAACAAACTTTTTTATGTCCTATATTTGTTAATCTAAAAGTTCTGTGTTGAAGCTACGACAGTATTATTCGCAGTGGGGTACTGTGGTGGATTGTATAGTAATCAGGGATCCACAAACAAAGTACTCACGTGGATTTGGATTTGTTACATTCGCAACTATACAAATGGCTGAAGCTGCTATGGCTGACCGACCTCACACGATAAACAATAAGGTATATATTCATTTGCCGTCAAATGATGTGTCGGTATTGTTCTCTGCGTTTGTCATTAAATCCAGCTTTATGTTTGTATTTAAAGACTTTAAAATCCTTTTTTCATAGGTGGTTGATCCAAAGCGCGCTATACCTCGTGAACAGATGTCACCTCTCTTTCCAAATCATCCTCCATCATTCCTAGAAATTGAACCCGATCCAGGATGCAAGTTATCCTTGTCAGGTAAAAATTTTTTATTTGAAGATATGTAATAACTAAGATATATATTCTTTAATGTCACAGATGACTGTATCTTTTCAGTTTTGAAGGTATCTGTTTCAGGAATACATTGGGCATGGCACACAGTTGATGACTTACGACAGTATTTTGACAATTTCGGAACTGTTGAGCAAGTTGAAATTTTGGGCAATCCTAGAGGACTAGGTTTTGTTGTTTTTGAAAGCAAGTTTTCTGCAGATAAGTGTTTGGAGTATGGGAAAATCCACATAATCAATGGCCAAAAATGTGAAATTACCGTAAGTTTGATGTCGATTTTATGTGTTATTGTTTATAAAATATTTCTTTGTCTCGCCTTTGAGAATTTTGAGTTCGGTTTCTAAGAAATTTTTCGAAAAATGGAAGATCTTTTTTTTTGTAATAATGACTGGAAATGATATAATAAGAACTGGATATTACTTGTCAGATTCTTGTTTTATGGCACGACTTGAATTTGTTTTACAGCGCAATCCAATTGAACATTCCATCTATCAGCGCAATGATATGTATGATGGTAATGATTCGGAAATAGTCGATGAACAAGTTGATTCGGCTAGTGTAAGTGGGCACGAAACTCCTGGTGACGGCTCCCTAAAAGCTCTGGAGAATGGTTTTGCGAATAGTTTGAATTTCGCCGAAACGGAAAATGTTTGCACTACTTGTCGTGCTGATGCTGATCAGAAACTGAAAGGAATTGCAGGGAATAAGAAGACTATTAAACTGTCAAAAACAGAGAAGGAGGACGTAAATGCTAAATTCATCAAAGAGACAGGGAATGAAAAGAATGCGAATGACAAGCGTGATAAAAAGATCCCAGTGGTGAAAACTGATAAGAAGAAGATTAAAAAAACAAACAAAAATTAAAAAGTAAGTGCAAGTCTAGGATATGTAGCAGTTTATTTTCGTTTTTTTTTAATATTTGAAATACTAAAATAGCTTTTCTGCATATCATTCTCTGTGGTGTTTTACATTCTGACTTTATAACTCTGCACTACTTTTTTCAGTTACTGATTTGCTGCTTGATTTGCCTTATTATCAGTAATAGTGTACTTGAAAAGGATTCACAGATATTAGAAATTTTCATTTATATGTGGCAGTCTTTATATGGCTACATCTATTGTTTTGGCTGATTGCAAAAATAGCTAATATTTCTTCCCTTTTTTGTGTGACAGCTCTTTTCAAATTTTTTTGTTTTCATAGAATTAAATTAGAAGTTGCCGTCATACACAGTTGTAGACTGATACATAGCAGCTTTATTCCTACGGGGTTTAGTAACCATTAAAAAGTAACCATTGTGTGACATTTATCTTTAAACATTTTTGCTCAAATTATCTCATTACGCTTCATAAATGTCTTACTATTTGAGATTTACATGCAATGATAGTTGATCATCCATTAATCTCATTAATTTTCCTTGTATTTCGTGATATTTTGTTCATTTTAATTTTACCATTCGAATCGAATTTCGATCTTTCATGGACGACAATGTACATACATGGTTTTATGTTATCATTCATATGAACAATGTTCATAATTTTATTTTTCCAGTCATTGATTCTAAAAAATATGCTTCAAATAATGGCCAATATTATACCTCAATTTTTTTGCTGTTCATAAATCTGCGAATTCGTGAATCATTTTATTGAGAATTATTATTCCAATCTTATTTGAACAAGGCAATTTATTAAGAAAATCCTAAAATCTGTGAACTTTAAAAGAAATTACAAAATATTTGAAACAGGCAGTAGATTGTTTTTTCCCCAAATTTTTTTATCTCCTTACCGAACGCAATGTTCATTAGGCGTATCTGTTGTTAGTGTCTTGTTCAGCAGTGCAATCAATGTACAAATTGGATACCATCTTTCGCACATTTGTTTATGAATCTTCGTCAAGATGTAGTATCGTAGTCGCCAATAAACTATTCAGATGCGGTTTGTCGTTTTGCATTCAACCTTTACCTAGCTTTCCTTCGTAAATGATCGTTCTAGTTTCAGGGAATTTTGTTTTCCTCTGTTTGGAAGAGTCGCAATTGTACCAAAATGTAGCATACTGTCTTTTACATCTATTTGTTCGCAGTTTAAATTGTTCTTTTCAATTTAGTAAAGGTATAATTCAGTAAAGGTCCACTAGGCTTGCTTACTGTAATTCATTGTTATTTCTTTGTGTGTTCAGTTAGAAGCCGATGATATTTTTTGTAGTGGCTAAATGTAGAGTTTGATGGATACCTTTATCGATCTTATTTACTATAGTATTCTTGCTTTTTATTTAATACGTCTTTGCATGACTTTTGCATTTTTCCATGCAGAAATTCATGTAGTTTGCTATAAGTAATATTACATTTTCATTTGGGATTTTGCAAGTTTTTTATAGCAATGTAGATTTGATTGTTTTGAGAAAAGACAAACTCAAAAAAAATCCTCGTACTTTTGATACGCATCATTAAAGATGATAAATTAATTGTTTGATTTGAACAAAGGAATTAAACGTGGTTGGGCTTCCTATTCCGAAAAATACAGATCATACACGAATTGTTATAGTGGTACTATTAACATAAAGTGGTAGGAAAAAGAAGGAATGATTTTTCCCTCATGGATCTACTCAGAACTTGTCCGTAATTTCCGTTATATTTTACGTGTATATAAACAAACACATGCACAAATCGAAAATATATAAACGTTCCTGTATTCGTAAACTGAGGGTGTATATACACGTAGAGGCTGATAGGCCTGCATGATAACTAATCTGCTGTGTAGATGGGGATTGCCATACTCGCAATGGCTAGCTAAATCATAAGGCGTGAAAGGCTTCGGTTTTCATTCATAAATCATCGTTCCCAGTCAATTGAAAAGTAGCTGATTGTAATATTTTGAACAATGCATTAGTCCCGTGCGGCACATTTCCAGCGTCCTGTAAATTATTATAGTAAAAATAGCTTGCACCTAGTTTCAGCATACCGGATTGGACCCTGGCAGTATCATGAACGATACATGTATCATAAATCTTGTTAGGCAACGGAGAGTTTCTGATTTACCAATTTCAAATACCGTTATTCTGGTAACTTTTCATTCTTACAAACAAATTACATCAGTGAAAGTGGACTTCGAAAAAATAGCAAAAGCATCATGTTGGAAATGGCACAGTTTCTTTGATGAGAATTGCAATCTCAGGGATTCATCTTCACTTATCATAAATGAAATGATTATTCACCTGACAACACATAGCCGATCAGCTCTTTCAAAATTAGCGCGTACCAATTCATAATATTGACCATCAGATAGTACTACCGAACGCAGTTTCAAGCACTTCAGTCGAAGGGTATCGATGAATTTACTAAAGCAGAATAGTAGTATTAAAGCCTTTTTTTTACATTTCGATATGCAGGCATTAAAATTCAACTTGAATTCTGGGTCAGTGAATTAAACGATGGAAGTACTAAAATATGTGGGTATTTAAGTATCTCACCTCGATTTGTCACTGAATCTTAGAGTTCCATCATCCCAGCGAATTTCAAGGCGACATAGTTTTGGACAATTTTGCGCAATACTATCAATAAATTGATCAATATGAATTTTTGCAAGTACTTTTGAGCAGCAGTCTTCCGCCGTTCCCATGACAAGCACTCTGCGAAATTTCTTGATATATTTGAATTTCAAAACACGTTGAAAACTCTCAGCAGAAATACATTTATAAAAATTATTAGTACAGAATTTTAATAAACTGTAAGTTCCAATAAAAATCTTTACAAGTGCAGTGCAATAAAAGCGAACAACAAACTGACACAGATGATTATGACAAGCTAAAAAACGTACTTAATGTTTTTAAGCTTTGGAATCATATTTGTCCAAAAATACTCCAATAATTTATAATGTCCTCCTAAGTTTAAGCCCAGTAATTGGTTGCCCATCTTAGATATGAGATCGGTTAATGATGCTTCATTCAGTGAGTCGCAGGTGTCTAAGTTAAGATATTGTAAATTTAAAATGGAGTCTGAACCCAGCCAAGCTTCTAGAACCTGAAAATGAGTTCATAAATGTTTCGGAGATGTGTGATTCTGATCATGATTTATTTCCTGTTTTGATGAGACTCTTGACAAATATTGTATATAATATTACTTTATGACCTTACCTGATCATTCATGTTCTCCAACCAAGACGCATCAAGCCAAATAAGATGTTTTAGTCGAGTTAAGATACTAATTAATGCATCAGACGATAGTTCAGTTCCACAGATATTTAGCTCTTCGATATGTGTTTTTTCCCATTCGACAGATTTTATGATTTCATTGTCAAGTGCTGAAGTTTATTTCAATTAATAAATTGCGCATAGAGTAGCTTAATCTTCTTTACAGTTTAAAGACAGATCGGTATTACTCGTTCCATTAACATTCCTATCACGCAGTTTTGCAATATTCCAAAATGTTTCCTCATGCAGGAACTTATTTTGCATGCTAACTTCTACAGAAAAATATTCCATTATAAGAGCTAATGTTCCTGGAAGCCTAATACAAGCCGTGAACGTACTCATGTATATTTATTAGCTATTTAAGGTCAAATAACTGAGAGCTAACGAGCCTACTCAATGATGTAAATTAATTGCTTAAGAGAAACCCACTTGCGTGAGCGAGAAGAAGACTCCTAAGTTTCTTGCAGCGCTGCAAAACGAGTCGAAGACAAGATCCAGTAACTTTTGTGCAGTAATTAACGCAGAGGCATTCTAAGTGGGCACAGTTGGATGATATCGACTCCACATGTTCATCTGTTATGAAGGGCACCTGAACTTTCTATTTACTTCATATAAAAGCTTGAAAAAAGAAATTCAAAAAAAAAACTTGAAGCTAATAGATAGTGATGTAGAGCTTCTTTTCTAAAACAGACAGCAAAAATAGAAAACTGAAACTTTGCTTAATAAAATTCTTTGCATCTCTTGCATCGTCATTTACTTAGTAGTTATGGAAATCTCGACAGCTTTTTAAAATTAATAAAGCAAAATATAAACATATGTTAAACTAACACCCCAAAAATTAACAACGCGAAGATTCGGTATGTACTGTTTTAGTTTATGTACATTCACTGTCTCATAAACTTCTTCTTCTTCGTCTTCTATCTTTTCATATGTTCCTATAAACGTAAAAATCGTTTCGTAAAAATCGAAATCCTAAGCCGACTAAGATTACTGAAGAAAAAAGGGATTTAGGTATGAAAAGTTATTGAAATGATTAGTCCAACTTTTTAACTTAATGTGATTCAGATTTTTTTAATTTAAGGTTATATCAGTGATATTATAATTAAGGTTGTTGTTAAAATAAAACATTTTAATTACCAATGATATGAAGTACTTCCATAGAAGAGATGAATGTATAAACTTTCCTCAAAAATCCTTCCAGGAAAATGTTACCACTCAAACATATTGTTAGCGAGCGCAATCTGCTCGGAAAACTTTGCAAATCTGAGAAGTCGTGCAACTGCATTGCTGTTGAAAAATCTGCCAATTAAGCAAAGTGAATGAACAATGAAGAAAACGGATCATAGGAGGAATACTTGTGGATTTTAACTTGAATGGATAGACTCATAACTTTCAAACAAATAGGTAAGATTAAATGGTGCTAAATTATAATGGATCACATGCTTCAGGAATTCTAAAGACGAAGAAGTAATTCAACCATCGTATCCTCTTAATTAATAGGAAGACCATGCAAGACGATTTGTCGATGGCATGGATTTTTTTTACCATTAAGAAATACTACTTTTTATGATCAGATGAATCTGGTAAATTTAATACTGATGTATTTAAGTAAACTTCTTAAAATTTCACTCTATTTCTACCGCTTGAAAAACAATGGATATCAAATCATCAAAAATCAGAAGAGGTTATACCTAATGTCATAGACCAAAGCTGGGGACATCGAGCAGCTAGTTCATGAAGTATATTAGGTGTTATCAGATCAGTTGCCAATTCAATCACTCGTAATTCTATAAAACGCGATCCAATCAAATGCAGTAAATAATCTTGATTGATGACCTGAAATTGCCCTCAACGTATAAAAAATTGATTTCATCTCAAATTTCAACTGAATCGCTGTTGCATGAGTGGTACTTTCACTGTTACACAAACTGAATTTCCAGTTTTTTATCACAGGAGAAAAGAACCGTAAATTAAGATAGCTTGGCTATGAAACCTCAGAATATAAGATACGAACTTGTAAACCACCATATGATGGGCGGAAAGAGATAAGATGCCAAAGCGATGGACTCTGAGCGATTTCTTTCCACCGCTTGCAAACTTGTCCAACGATAAGCACCTGATAAGGTGACAAGTATGAAAATATTGCCTGGAGCATTTTGTCCGGTAGTTTTTCGACTGTCTGCAAAAAATCGAAAATGACAATTGAAAACAAAAAGAGAAAAGAGTTTCATTTTTTTAATTAAAAATTCAGATTTCATGACGCTTGCAAAATAAATAACAGCAAAAAAAGTGAACTCTATCTCTCCTGTCTTTTAATTATATAACGCCCTCTTTGTCTTGACGGTTATCACGATGACTGAAAACAAGCGCTCTCTGACCTCATATAGCCATTAGAATAATTTTTGGATGTTGTCAAAAAGAAGCAAAATAGTTGATATGCGAAAGATTTGCATATCAAAGATTCCGCACCTTTACATGATGATAATAACGATGGTGATTACTGCGCTACTGCGTTTTAATTTTTATCACACATTATTGATATATGAAGTTTTAGTTTAAAAAATTAAACACTGATAAATGTGATACCACAGTAATGACTAACAACGATATTGCCTAATGAAACTGTCGATAGTTCGTCTTCTTCCATTTTTTTGGTGAAGCTATCAATTTGATGTTTTGTTAAGCGACGGGTCATATCGTAGAGGGCTGCCATTTTTCACTATTTCGATTTTAGTGATGCCATAAAATCATGTATTCCGTTTAATTAACTGATAACAAGTTTGGGTGATACATTTTATATAAAGATAACTTTTGGCGTTGGCCAGCACGATGGCATCACGGTCTAATATAATTCAGTGAATTCATGCCATATTTACTTATCTGCTAAAAAAAATAAAATTGAAAATGAAGTAAAGAGGTTGAACGAGAAAGATATGCAGACAAATGATGCTTTCGAGATAGCATTGAAAGCAATGGTTTGTACCAGTTACACTTAATATCAGCTCAAAGGGAAACTATCACTCAAAATTATTTCGTAAAAAAATTCGATTTGTTATCAATTAGTAATGCTCATCATAAGTGAAAATAAGTTAGCAAAAGGAAAAGAATAAAAAATTGAAATGAATTTGTAATGAATTGAAAAGGCAGAAGTATTTGTATGAGGAGAGATAATGTTTGATTTTACATTGAATGAATTTATGCAAGGTGAGGATGATTCTGCTATTTAATGCACAGCGCAGGGAAAAATAAAAAGTTTTAAAGAAACTTGCAGTAGAATTTATTTTTTTTATTAATTTCGATGACTGAACAGTTCAACTGAATTTTTACTAATTTGGAAAGAATGATGGTGATGTATGAAAAAGTGGAAAGAGAAGATTCATAGCTGAATAAGTGGAATTATAATAGATGACGATGTAAAATGGAATAGTGGTGTGCAGCAGCAGTAGTAACAAGCTTGTTAGCACGGGAAGCAAGAAAATAAGCTGGAAAACACCAAGCAGTTGAAAGTAGCAGTATTAGCAGTGTGGCAACCATTTGTAGTTCGTGCACCTTCGCCTCATGTACTTCGATTGGCAAAACAGCTTTAAATTTCAAATCCTTCTCATTCTTACTCCTCCTTTTCCTCTTCCTGCACATCATGTCATATCATATTATTACACTGCTTTTTCTAAACGTAATGCGACTCCTATCCTAGTCATTTATCCTGCATGAACTAATAGCTTTATTTATATTTTTAATATTATTTGCTTATAAATCATCCATTATCATCTGGACGTATATTGAGCGCTTTGCTTCAACAGACTTTATTGCAAAAATTTGAAATCACATTTATTACTTGAAAAGCTCACACATTTATTACTTGAAAAGCTTTTTAAACGTATCGATGAGAAATCAATCACATTTATTACTTGAAAAGCTTTTTAAACGTATCGATGAGTACTTGCATACCGGTCGACCACTGTGAATGTAATTTTACTTGCATACCGGTCGACCACTGTGAATGTAATTTTAACTCTTCAACTTGCCCGTATAAGTTCACGAAAAGAAAGAAATGTTGCACTTTTGATAGGTTACAACTTTTTGTTTACTTGGTGTAATTCACAGCGATCACCTCTCTACTGTAGTTCTCTGCTGTTAAAAATATCGACTTCGGAATTTCAATCAGTGAGGTTAGTGAAACTTAACACAATAATCAAATATGAAATCAGTGAAATCTCTGGCAGATTTGATGATAGTTTTAGCTGCAAGAAAACAGGTTTTAGCACTATCTTTGTTTTTGTTTTTTTTTTGCTTTTATAAAATTTGCTATTCCATTATCCGATAAATCGAACATTATTTTGTAAATAGATGCGAATGAAAAAAGTCGAAGGTAGATTCGCTTGCAAAAATCCGAATCTGATGAAAAGTGAAAGTGATAAGCATAAGAACAAACGCGTGTAAAGTATTGATTTAAACGTGTTTAACAAGTAATATTAATGCTTAACCAATTGCATTCTGAATAAGAAGAGATTGTAGTATCAAAAGTGTAGTGCTTTAGAGTTCGTTCCCAATTTAACTTAAAGTCATTCTTTGAATATCAAAGTAATCAAAGATTTTGCAATAACAATTCTCATAATGATGATTAAGAATTAGCTATATTTTTATACTTGCTTGGATATTTATTAATCGATTTTTCTTTGGCGTATTTATGAATTGCAACGACATATCTACCTACTTTCTTTCCAACCTTGTAAAATTCAAACTAGTTTAGCTTCAAATGTTTGCCGAAATGTGTAAAAAAAATTGTCTCTTCCGCTTCATCTTTTTATGATTGAGCAACAATGAGCTGCAGTGAGTATAATTCCAAACTTGCATATTTCAGGAAGTTTTTGAAATTTCAAAATAACTTTTGTTATCGGTCAAAAGTTCTGCAAAAAACAGCCAACATGTTCATAATAATGATCTTATTTCAATTCATTTTCTAAAAGTCTTCTTATAAGCATAAAGTGACAACTTACAATTTGTGGAAGTGCCATCACAGTAATATTAGAAACCACATTTCGTCGATTCATTGTAGACGAACAAGCAATTGGGATATTATTGCCTGGAAGAGGGCGAAGATGAGTGTGGGAAAAAATGTTGAATTTTCCACTTAGCGACAATCATTTAATTCAGTAATTGAATTTTTGAGTTCTAGTACTGCGGGTCATTTTAAATGCAATTTTTGATGGATTACAGAAATTAAATTGGAACGCCATGAAATAGTGAGTATTTGTGAAAGAAATGGAATGATATCAAAAAGATGGAAACCGACAATATTTGTTGACGGCAAATAATAATTGGCTGTGCAACAAAAATGGTTCGTTACAAATAGAAAAAGAAGAAAAAGAGAAGGAAATAAGGAAGAATATTGTTGACCAGAAGGCAAAATTGAAGAATATTGAAATTGCTTTATGATGGTTGCTATATGCTTTTAATAAAGCAACCGAACTGCGACGCACTGCGGATCGAAATATCTGTAAATCAACTGGTAGATATATAGGGATCAGTATGTATAGTGTATGGATCAGTGGTCTGCAAGTGAAAGGATGAGGTTTGAATTCGTTTAGAGTTTTTCTTTTTTTAATGCTGTCGAGCTGATACACCACCATCGACTGTGTAATATCCTTCAATACTGAGTTTACACACACACAGAACATACAAAGATATATCTTATTACTCTAGGACAGTTCAAAATAAATTGAAAAGTGAGAACAGGAATTTTTGGAAAAGTTCAAGAGCAAAGTTAAGTGGCTATGATTGTTCAGCCAAGACGAAACATTCCACGAACAATCGATCCGATGGAAGTACAAATCTCTTGCATTTTTTTACTTTTTGAAATGTGTCTCGCAACTCTTGGATTGGAAAGTCCTAGGAAAGTATCTTCCAAATGAGATGATTTGTGAATGCTATCAAATGGTTTAATGAGTGTGGCTCGTAATGTTGAATCGGAAAATCGGTTCGTTTTGACAAGTGTTAACTATCTAAAATAATTTTAAATGCACGCGAAAATAAACACGACTAATTCATACGTTACAGATGTGAGACTTAAAAAACGAGAACATCGAATCACACGTCCTCGCATCAGTCAATTTAATTTAATTGTTAGTTTCTTACAGCGAAAGAAAAAGTAACCATTATTTTATGTTTATCCATTTCCAAATAGTTGCGTAATATTTAAGCTACTAAAAAGATTATAGTTCACTTGAATATTAAATTTTCTAGAAAAATTATTTCGAAAAAAAACCGATAATAGGTAACGTCTACGATTGAGAATATATAGATAATAATTTTCTTACATATGTTTCCCTGCGAAATCAGTGCTTTAATCAGCATAGAGTTGCTAATAACACTGGGCAAATTAAATGTCAAAATAATTAACTACTTATATTATATGTCCATTAGTACAACAGAAAAATTTTGTATAATTAGGATTATTTTCAATGAAATTCGAAGACGATATCTTCATCAAATAAACTTACAAGCGCTTTTGGCATACTTAGCGCCAAATTCATTCATCCAATTGTTTCATCTCTGCACGAATTCTCTTCTTTTTCTTTTTTCATCCCTCAGAACCATGAATATGTTTTTCTTGTACTGCAAACAAGCTTTCACTTTGCTTCAGACCTGTAATTCGCTAATGTTTCAAGCAGGAATATTTCGATCGATTCTACACATTTACACATAATTCCCATTTTTTCTCTTCCAAAATGTTTACAAAAGCGCCTCATCCAAAATGTATAACTAAAAGCTTGCAAAATCCGAACTTATGATTTGATTACTTAAATTGCAATTTTGTCTATCGATATATAAAAAATCTAAAATAAAATTTTTAACTGCACTTCTGAGGAAAACAAGCCAATCAGTACTGCAATCAAATTTATTAAATCAAAAAAGTACTAACAACAAGTTATAAACGCTTCCAAACTAATATTAATTTCATTCCACAACCAGAGTGTACTGTACTACGGAAAAATATAAAACCAGCGTTTCAAATATAGTTAATTTCAAGCCTTATTTCATAAAAATTTATAATCATCCTCCAAGTTAATATTAATTTCATTTGTTGTTTCTGTTGGTGTGAAATTGATTTGAGAAATAAATGAATAATAAAAGAGTATAGATCGTAAACTAATATTTCAAAGTGCACAAAGCACCTGTAATTAGGGGCATGATTTATTCCCAACTGAATAGTGCTCTCAATAGTTGGATATAGATAATTTAGCAATAACACTCTAAAATATCATCAGAACTCTATGAGAAAAATTTTAAAAAATTTTAATGAAATCTTTTGACTGGAGTGATTTGACGAAAATCCTTGAACTGTGATTTTAGTTGCAATTTCTTCGCTTTACTTCTTTTAAAAAATATATAAAAGTGCTATATGCCACTTTATGAAAGTAAATCTACAAATATTCTGAAGTATTATTTACCCAAAAAATAAGAACATGTTTACCTGTCAGTCAGTTATTCGATTTGTCAGTTCAAACATTCGATGCTTTAATTAATTTTATCTAATATTAGCCACTTTAAATTGAATAAGAGCCTTAGCTTTTTATTTTACCAACAAGTTGATTGAAAGAGCTATAAAAGTGAAAACACAGATCCTGAGGGTGTCGTCGACATTTGTACTTGAACGCCATAAAATAGTAATAGGATTCGTTAAGGTTAGCATGTGACATTTCATTACAAACTTTGGATGTCATACTTGGTTACATTATCAGATGGTCATATTCACGGAAGGAGCATTTGACGAGACTAGAAAAGGCAGTGGAAATAAACAGCATAGAATGAGAAATGCAGAACCAAATAAAAAAACATCTCATCTTTGAAAGGTCAGTGCACATTCTGAAACTAAATCTCTCATGCAATTTGGTGATAAGAAAAAAATAGGCCAAATTAAGGAAAGGAAGCTGTTTTTTGGTGACCGCTAATTGCTAATGATTTCTTGCTTAACTTAGGCGGGTCCTGCGACTGCTCTACTGCGATACGCTTCCCCTTCGCATTATGTAGCTGCGAAGAAAACTTTTTCCATATATCACAGTAATAGTTTCGACTCATAATAATTGCTAAATTCTGCTCAAGACAATCATTATTTAATCTAATATCATCCATCAGTATGATTTATAAAATGGTTTCTTAATGCTCATTGTATTATTTCTAGAATATTGATAATTTATTAGATGAGTTGTCGATTGTTAATTTCTACTATTCGTGTAGCCATTATTGATGTTTATCTTATTCCTAAATATCATAGTAATAGTTTCGACTCATAACAACTGCTAAATTCTGCTCAAGAAAAATTAGCTAGGAAGTGGTAACTATATTACGAGAATGAAAATGGGGTCAAGAAATTTTCAAATCAGATGAAATCCTGGCTTCTTTTACATAATATAAGAAACAGTGCATTGAGCACAATCATACTGTCGAATTAATTCGGCGTACAACTTCATAAATAACTATAGGTCAAGAAAAACACTTTAAAGGCGAAGATAGCTTTTACCTTAAATTAATTTAGGGAAGAGTTAAAAATTTAAGTTAATTTCACTGCTGTTTGAATGAAATGGAATGCAAATAAATACCGAAAGGAAATGACTTTGCAATGGATACACATAACACTAAAATTAGAGTACTTGTTTTTAAGCACTCTCAATGCTAAAATGCAAAAAACGGATCCCGATATGCTACCTTTCAATCCCTGAGGTTCTGAACACCTCCAACGTTCGCACTTTCATTTGAACAAAAAAAATTTCAAGGTACCGCTTCAATTAGTGCTCGAAAAGTCTGCAGATTTAGAAAAAATTTGTTCGCTGTTTGAAATGCTTTATGTTTCAGCTACCCTTAAAAAACTGATCTATTTTGACTTTACTGTGCAAAAAATATAGAGACAAAAGGAATATCCGTCAGAATAAATTCCAGTGGCAATTCTTCCATTTAAAATAATTAATTTATGTATTTCGAATTAATCCTGCAAAGTTCTTGAAAAACGTCTCAAAATTAAATTCCACTTTTTTTGAATTTCCAATTTTTGGGTTTTAAAATTCTAATTTCTGACTCCTTTCTAGGAATTCCATTTTGTTTCTTTACCGTTATGTAGGAATGATGCTAATTGAGGATTTTTCGAGCAAGCCTGAAAGACGCTATTACATTCAATCAATCAATATTTGAAATAGAAAACATCAAAATTCTGAATAACAAGTGTGAGCTCAATTTGATGACTAATGCAAAAGCCTCTGTTTGTGATTTCATGTACAATATTTTTGATCGATAGTATTTATAAGCAAAAAATTTTTAGCACTAAAATTATGTTCAATGTTAATTTCACATTACCGATTTTAATGTTTTTGATTTTTGTGTCCATCATTAAATTTTATAACGGACATACACTATTAATATTTTATACAGTTGATCTGTAGTGTCAGCATGCCCTATCCTGTCGGAATGGAAATACATTGATTATTTAAAATCACCGTCTTCAATCAGTTCGTTTCCTACCATATGGTTGACATGAATTATTGTTTCACCCACACCTTCTTTTGCACCACATTGAATGGCAAACTGAGTAGTATTATGATTATATCAAAAAACAATAGAATGAAACTGTTTTATCAAGTTAAAAGAAAAATGAAGAGAAATGATCCGTCGTTGTTCACTTTTCTTCGTAATAAACAAAAAGCGAGCAGCTAACGCCATTGAATTAATCACCTTCGTTTTTTATCCACAGACGCAATTGAAAGTATGACAGTTAGCTTAACGATTAATACCACAATGTCGCTAATTCGATCAATTTTAGTGTGATGCGAAATCTGATGATAAGACGCCGCATTCTATCCAATTCTGTTTATTGACAGAACAATGTTGAAATGTTTTCTCTGAAAAACAATTTAGCAAGCAGAGTTTGCGAAGATTTCGAAGATACATTTACATAATATGTTTACTCAAGAAATTTTTGCTTTGCTTACTAAGCTGACCTTTTCTTCTTCACAGCACTTGAATGTTGAAAAAGCAAATTATTAAAAATCGAGAAGATAATCATAACAGCCAGTGTATAAAAAAGTTTCGCAATTCACGAAAATTGAACTTAAAAAAAATTCTGTATAGCTTGAAATTCTATCGATGGAAGCATTCTTGAACTGCTAATGCTTTTTTAATTTGGAATTCAAAACAGCACAATTCAATTCTCAGCAATAATTAATATATCAAATCTTTCAATTCGATGCGTACATTTTTGATGAAAACTTGTTTTTCTCTATCTGAAAGCAAAGAACGATGCTAATTGAATACAACTTACTTTTTCTGGATCTTCTTTATTCGAGTATAGAAATTTTACGCGACGCAATGATGGACTGATTAGTACGAAATCCTTCCCGGTCTTTTTCCTGCACCTCTTCATTTATACTTTCATTTTCTATTCTTCTAATAACAATTTGTTTTTAATTCAGCAACTTCACCGAAACAAGAGGAAATAAGAACAGCGAAATGATCGGGAAAATTTGCATAAATCTCTGGAATAGTGTCAAATGTCATAGAGCTTAACTAGTCACCGCAACAATTACAAAGCTTTAAAATTCTGCAATTAACGTAATTATTGCTTCAAATAGTGCTCTAAGAAAAGTTTATAGAGTCCTTACATCTTAAAGTGTTAGTTCTTGGAACGAATTTCTACTGAATTGAAGATTTTTCTTATGGAATTTTAATAATTGCTTTATCATAATTAAAATCCAATGGAAACGAAAGTAATATGAATAGGATATTCTGTTCTCTCTGAATACACTTTAGGTGAACACTAAATATTTCATTGCATTAAATACTTTATTTAATAAGGACTGAACTAAGCGTTTCGACTTGTCCTTTTCCGACCTTTGAATCAGGAATTACGGCTATGAAAGACAGTTACCATCAATCTTTACAGTCTTTTTCCAGAAATAAGATAATTGAATTTCTGTGGGAAAAATGAATGCGAAGGAAGGATCATCATGAAAATCAGATTTTCCTCAAATTAATTTTTAAAAAAAACATGGGGAAGAAAAGGGGTGGACGAATGCACAGAACAGATAAGATGGGCAGAAGGGACAGGGAGGGTACGGACGAAGATGCATTTTGGTGAATGTTTGTGATATATACCCGTGGAGCTGCTGGAAAATGGATTAAGAACGGGTCTGTTACCACGGACGAGTATTGGTGGAGTAACGTCGTTTCTCGAAAATGCGATCAAAATGATTCGGCCAAACGTCACTGTGATCGCCTTTTCACCCGTGTGGAGTCTGTGACTACTGTTGCTGCTGTTGTTGCTGATGATGATGATGATGATGATGATGATGATGATGAT